TCTACGGTGACAACGATTCCAGTTGGACATCAAGGAGAGTTTTTGGAACTTCAGCCGTCGTCATACGTGTGGTGATGGCGCTCCAAGTCTACATCTTCGACCAACGAAGAAGCACCGCGGCAGCAATGACTGGCAGCACGCTCACCAACTCTCCCAGTCCCGCAAACTCTGGGGGAATCCTCGCGTTGACAAAGGCACCGGCAGCAAGAAGAACTGCGAAGGTGTTGTACACGAAGCTCCACCCAAAGTTGAACTTGATGCGGTTGACGGATTTCCGGCTCGCATTCATCATGGTCAGAATACCAGCCAGGGAAGGACGCATGAGAACAACATCCGCAGCGGATTGTGCGACATCTGTGCCTTCGTTCATATGGACGCCGATAGTAGCCTGCGCGAGAGCAACGGCATCGTTCGTGCCGTCGCCGCAGAAAACGACAACCGGCTCCTTGCCATGTGTGCCGGCATCGAGGAGATTCTGGATGTAATCCCTCTTGTCGGCAGGCGAGCTTCGAGAGCGCACATTGTCATCAGGAATGTTAAGCTTAGATGCCAAGGACCGGACGGCTCCGTCATCGTCGCCAGAAACCACATGTACCGAGACACCGCGCTTCTGCAAGGTTTCAACCGTTTCTGCAGCATCAGGCCGAAGTTCATCCTCAAGTCCATAGACTGCCTTCAGCTCATTGTCAATTGTAAAGCAGAACACAGTGTAGCCTCGAGCAAGCATCGGCTGGACGAGTTCATGGTCCGAGAGATTCAACCAACGAGAGTTGCCAGCTCGAAGTTTCTGACCGCCCAGGGTACTTTCGATGCCTTTACCAGTTAAGCTCTTCGGCTCAGGAACAGTCGAGGTCATGATTCCGATGTCCGTGAGGTGGGCAGCTACAGCAACCGAGACCGGGTGTCGACTGTTCTCAACCAGACCCAGGAGAAGTGGAAGTTTGTCCTCGTCCATGCACTCGTTCCCAACAACGGAGAGCTTTCCTCGAGTCAAAGTTCCTGTCTTGTCAAATACAACGTGCGAAGTCTTGTGGGCGACTTCAATAGCGTCCGCGGACTTGAAGATGATACCCCGTTCCGCCGCGACTCCGCTGGCAATCACAATGACCATCGGAACAGCCAATCCAATCGCACATGGGCAAGAGACAATAAGAACAGTGATGGCGTAGGTGATGGCCTGGATGGTAGCTTCAGATCCTCCATAACCACGGACAGTCATGCCCACTGCGACCCAGATGACAAACGTAATAATCGTTAATGCTACCACCACAGGGACAAAGTAAGATGCTACCCGATCTGCCAAGTCCTGTAACTTGGGCTTCGATAGCTTGGCCTCGTCAACCATCGCAGCAATGGCGTGGATGGTATTGTCACCAGGCAGACGGTTCAGCCGAACAGTCATGACTCCAGGTCCATTGATAGATCCAGCAATCACCACCGATTTGGGATACTTCTCCACCGGTCTGGATTCACCCGTGAGCATGGACTCGTCAACCTCAGAAGACCCGGTGATGACAGTGCCATCGGTCGGAATCCTGGTGTCTGGAAGAACCTTGAATACGTCGCCATATTGAAGAAGTCGGGCGTCGATCTCACGTTCCGTTCCACTTTCGTCGTCGATAAGGATGGCTGTCAATGCCTGGAGTGACCGGATGGAAATGGACTCAACAGCTCTCTGACGAGCGAGTGCTGCGACCCATCGGCCAACCATGATCAGAGTGACCAAGAGAGTGCTCGTTTCGAAGAATTGTCCAGTCGAAAGAGGTTTCCCTGCGACGAAGTACCCAAAAGAGACCACAGAGAAGATGTAGGCTGCACTGGTGCTCAAGACGATTAAGAGGTCCATCTCGATCACTTTGGAGAAGACAAGAGCCTTCAGAGCCTTGGGGTAGAAAGGTCCTGCGATAGCAACTTGGACGACGGTTGCCAAAGCGAGTGAAGCCGAGGAATAGGCTAACTCCCGCTCAGGAAGAGAAGCCCATGCCATGACAAGAACAGGAATCGTCAAGACAGCCGAGAGAAGCGTCGTGTATCCAACATGACGGACATGCTTGCTCCCAGCCTCTAGTGAAGGGTCACCACGAGGCGGAGCAAGTTCAATTGGCGGACCCCAGATCTTCTCGGCGAGGTCTCGGGCTCCCACAATATTGGAGTCAAACGCAACTCTTACGGTCTGCTTGTCCACAAGCGCCATATCAATAACACCCTCCGGCCATGTCTGATTCATGAATTTCGACGGATCATCGGAGATGATAAGATCCAGACCAGATCCCTGGTTCTGAACTCTTTCGCACTTGAATTCGGTCGTTCGCTCCAGATATTTCACAACTTCTTCCACCGAGCCGAGGCGAAGATCGATGTTGAACTCAGCTCGTGAGAGAACCAGGCTCGTCTTCAGGTCTTTGACGGCGGGAACTGTAGCGAGAGTTCGATTGAGCTTTGTCTCGCAGCCAGTACAAGTCATGCCGGAAATGCTGAGAACAACATGCTCCTTGCCGGTACTCTGCTTCTCTACATCAGTGATAGCCTGAATCGGGGCCTTCTCAATCTCCAACCCATGATCAGGCGCAGCAGAGGAGCAGCAGGCATCGGCGCAAGAGCCCTGAGGGCTCGCCGGTCGCTTTTCCGAGCAGCAAGAGTCCGCACAACTAGTATTTGGAGCCTTGACGATATCCTGCTTGGGTTGCTTGCAGCAAGAACCAGCGCAAGCGGCATCAAGGGTCTCTTTGACAACCGCAATCTTGACTACTTCGCAACAAGACCCTGCACATCCACTAGGTGGAGGTTCAACAACGGGCTTGACTTTCGAATAGCACGAGTCCGCAGAGATTCTCTTGGTATCATTGTCGCTGACACGCTTGTTCTCGGGGCAACAAGATCCGGGGCAGCCGGCCTTGGTAGGGCGTTCTTCGAAACGCTCAGTCTCGGGGCAGCAAGAGTTAAGTCGTCCAGTGTCGGCGACAGACGGCTTGACAGGCTTGTTATCGGAGCAGCAAGAACCGGGGCAGTTGGTCTTTGTTGGGGCTTCTTTGACTGGGACCTCGTCCTTCGCACAGCAAGATCCAGAAGGTTTAATGCTAGCTACAGCTTCCACGTTAGGTCTGGCCTTTGAGCAGCATGAACCCGCGCAGCTGCTCTTGGGAGGAGGCTCATTGGCAGGTTTCCCCTCAGAGCAGCAAGACTTGGAGCATTTGCCCTTGATGGAAGGGTCTTTGGCGGGTTTGTCCGTGGAGCCTTTAGAGCCTGCGCGGGCAACCGTAGATGATTTCTTGGTAGATTTCACGCTTTCTCCAAAGCCCTTGCGCTGGCGAAGGCGGTTCTGTGCGGCGTGGTGCTGCGTGCCGGAGCCGCTACTGCTGTAAGAATCCAGCGAAGTGCGAAGAAGGGAGCGGGCAGACGACTTCTTGGAGCACTGCTTCCCGTCCATGGAATGGCGCTCGCGAATTTCGCAGCAGGTTTCCTGGCCGAGAGCAATGAGGGCACGGCAGATGCATCCCAGGGCCTGGAGAGTGGCGCCATAGCGGTCGAGGGCAGAGGTGCTATGCTGGCTGCATGCCTTGCCGTCGGCAGCACCACTGCAAGCTGAGGCGAGTTAGCAATCTCGAATGGGTTTCTGTAGATGTGGCTACTCACTCGTTGTCTGGGCGCTTGCTCCAGGGGCAGCGACAGCACTTATCTGGCATTCCCGCATGGCCAAGCGGTCAAGGCAAGACGTGTCGCAACATGGGCCTGTCTTGCCACGGCAGCAATCAGGCGCGTCACTATCATCCTTGGCTTTTTCGTCCGCGCATTTGCCAGAGGAGCAGCAATCGTCTGGTTTATCCTGGTTGGGCTCTCCCTGACCCGGATCCTTTGTCTCGAGAGGCTCATTGCAGCAAGAATCCTGGCAACTACTCGTCTCCTCAATTGGAGCCGCGATCGGTGCAGCGACCGGCTCATTGGCTGGAGCCGGTGGACCGCAACAGTCGCATCCCATTGTTGGAGTATCCGTGTCTTTTCGCTTTTCAGTGCGAATTCTGTCAGTTGGGGCTGAGATGGTGTTGGTGTTGGTGTTGGTGTTGGTGTTGGTGTTGGAAATTGATAGGGTTCAGGAATTCTGTCAGCCTCTTGAGACTGGTCTCAAGATACTTACCAGTTCAGCGATTGCCGAAACACACCCTTGCCTCCGACCGTGCCCGACACTAATGGACCAAAAGTTAATGGATCGGTATTTTGCTTATCAAAAGTATTGTAGCTTATCAAATATTGAATAGTCCTTCTAAACAGGGAGTAACAAAAATCGGAATCTAGAAAAGATGCCCGGATTTGGAAAAAGATATCCAGACTGGTCAAGTCTAGGTGTTTGTCAGTCGACATTGGCCTGATTCGAACAGACGCCTCCGAAGAGAATAGATTTCTAGTCTATCGCGTTAGACCACTCCGCCACAATGCCTTGTCTGATTGATGGAAGTTGAGGACAATTTCTATACTATGTAGTGGGCACAACGAAGAGAATGACTCGTAAAATCTCATCCACTGGAGCTCTACCCGTTGGCTTGAGCTGAGGGGGTGCCAACGAAGCAAAGCCAACGGGTACTCCTAATCCCGTCACCAACCATCTCATACCAGTGAGAAATGCCGTGAATAAAAGGTGAAAATAATTCTATCAGAGAATGTGAATCTCAAACAGATAAGTACCCCCGCCAGTTTACCGTGTTTTTCACGAGGGCAACATGACACCACATGTATGTTTTATTGCAAAGGCTGTGATTGTAATCAATTGAGCTCAACATGTATGAATCGACCCTCGAGGTGAGTTGTCAATCTTCCGTGACACGGCATAGTAATTGGCCATTCAATAGATGTTTCGCTCATTGTTACTATTGCATCCGAGGAGGAAAAGGTCAATTATTGGTCACTAGAGCACTGGATCCTATACAGACAGAATCTTTAGTAAATACAACGAAATCGCAAAGCGCACGCCAAAAAGAATAACGATTCGTCCGAAACTGCAAAAGTTTTGTCGGTAGAGAGGTTCGAACTCTCGACCTTTGGATCACTCTGATCTAGGACCAGATCACAGCTATTCACTATGAGACCAACGCTCTAACCAACTGAGCCATACCAACTTGTTCGATGTCTCAGCCTGAAGTATTTCGAAGTATGATCCTGGTCACACAAACGAAGAGATCTTGTCATTACCAGTGACACGCTCTACCACTGAGCCAACGCGGCGACTGTAGATGTAGAGATGTCTTGAATCTATGTGGCGTCGATGGATGTAGTGTGAGACTATCCGCTCTAGAAACAAATAATGGGAAGGGCTAGGAGTCTGGAAGATAAGAAGCCTCTCGACAAGTTCTAGCATCTAGATTTGTCGCGGTTTGATGTCAAGGTATTGATTCCTCCGTGAACCGTTTCGGTGGGCGAAGAAGCCATTCGGATTCGGTCTTCGGCGTAGTCATGGTAATACGATCCGGTTTGCTACCGATCATACTATGCAAACTAATTATGACGTGGTTTGGAATAAACTGCAAGTGTAGTGTGCTTCGTTGTATGAGTATTATTCCCTCCCAATTGGGATATGTCGCGTCTGCCTGTCTGGTGAATCGCGCTGTTACTGGTCAAGAGAGTCGCCAAATCGCGCTTCACTACGCGTCATTTCAGTTAATTCAATCAATCAATCCTGTTGTTCATTCAAGCCCGTTGCTACCGAGTATGTGAACGATCCAACAAACAAAAATTCAAAAGAATGAGAGAACGCAATCGTGGAATGAAGGACTGAAAAGACCAAAAATAGTTGACAAGACTGGGATTCGAACCCAGGCCCCTTTCGAGACTGCGAATCGTCACTAGTTCTAATCGAACCTGAACACAGCGCCTTAGACCGCTCGGCCATCTTGCCTTTTGATTGGATACTAATTTCCCTTCCAGACGTGATCATATCGCAAAACTCAAAATTGCAGGTGAACGTGATCTCAAGGACCAAACTCGTGTATTCCGAACGTTTTAGACATATGTTATATTTAAGTAAATACAGTTTTATATGCTCTTTCAGTTCGAGTCAGGAAGAGACGTAGAACTGCTAGTTTGTAACATTCTTGTTCAAATGTCAATTGTATCAGTGAAAATAGAAATTAACTCATGATTTTGCACTGACAGAGTGAGCCAGCAAAATACAAATTCACTCAATCACTCTAACCAGCCTTTAAGCACATTTGAAAAACACGGAATAAATAAGAGATTAAGTAAACATTGTTATACAGAGACTTTCCCACTCCTCTTCCTTATTATATTGTTATAGTGACCTATTTCCCGTTGTCGTCCTTCGATATCTGTGGAACCTACCCTGTAGAAATAAGAAGTGAGACAGCCACTGATGTCATAGCTTTCGGAGGAAACGTTAGCAAATTTTCGCGCCCTGTTTCACGATTGTTTCTCGCTAGCGCGATCCCTGAACTTTACGCGCAAGCAAATTCGCGCGTCGCGCTACAGCGTGTTACTAGCCTCCTCATTCACAGTTACAGCCTAAAAATTATCTGGTCTGGATAAGTTCAAAACCAAGGACTCAAAGAGTGTAAGGGTTTTGACGTGTCTTTGGCCCATGAATTCGAATGAAATAATAGTAGGTACCGTAACGCGATGCATTTTCTTGATGCCTCTTGCTCCGCCTCCTTTAGGTAGTAATGCATGTCCATCGGCGGCCTCACTGATACCCTCTCACGTTTTCCTTTAATTACCTATGGTCTTGCAACAGTCTCTGCTTATCTTACTCACAAAGCCGTAAATCCCAAATCAAACCCTTCACATCTTCAAAACTATAATGGCTACGCAACAGAAGAATTATTTCTTGGCGCCAGTTGGAAACCCCCCAGAGGGCCCTATCCGACTCGGAAACATTGTCTCCGGTCCAGCATTCGCAGACGATCCCATAAATGAGGAACACCTGCCGCTGGACTCGGTGGCCATGGAAGTCAGTGAGCACAACCTAACCAACTTCACCTTCGACATGAGCATGAGCAAAGATGGCTTTGTCGGAGTTTGGGCATCATTCTTGCAAGTGCTGGGAATTGGTGGTGACGTGACGTTTGAGTGGTCAAGGGAGCACAGCGAGAAATGGGCCTGCGATAATTTGAAAACTTTATCATTCAACCCTAAACTCTCTTACATCAATCAATGCTTGAAGGACGAAAGCGTGCAGCATTATATGAGTGTCAACAAGCCCTGGCTTGGTGTCTACAAGCTGTATATGGTCACCGGCATCAAGGTGGCCTACGGGGCTGCCTCCACAGTCGCCTACGCGAGAAAGAACGGGCTAAACCTCCGATTCGGCACGGATTTCAGTTCACAAGGTGTTCCTCTCAGTCTAGGACCGAAGTTGGGAGGCGGCAACACCATATCTGTTCAGCAATCTCAGGAAGGCGCCGAACCATTCGTTTTTGCGTTTCGCCTACGACGACTCAAGATCTCGCGAAAGGGTGATGTTCGTCAGGAGGCCTTCACTAGAGGAACAGCCCTCAATATCAAGGAAGATGATGCAGGTGGTGAATCGGATATAGAAATTGTGGTTGATGGTATTGAGGACCATGATGCAGAGGGCTCGGAATTTCAACTTGACAGCAAGGATGCTTTGGAGGAGGAATCCCCAGATGGTACACGTTGCAAATTTGTGGTAGTTGAGGACACATGAATTTGTACTTGACTGATGTCACTGGTCTTATTGCTTAAACGAATGGGGTTCCATGGGGTTCGTTTAGTGATCCGATAGCATATTGCACTGGTCACATGAGAGTATTCAAATAGGTAGTCATCTGAATTTGTATCTAGTCTTGTGACGTCTTGAAGCACCGCGCAATCTCCGCCCCAACCTCCAAACCATATTCTTTTCTCAGCTCATCAACTATAAACCAAGCAGTGATTAACCTCTCTTCACCAGCTTTTCCAATAAGCTTCCAAGGAATAAGGAACTTCAGCCCATCGGGTTCCTTCTCACTACTTGCAAGTCTTAACACAGATAGCATTGCCGTGGTCTCTTGCAGGTAGGCCTGTATTTCCGGGCTTTTGTTAAGGGGAGACTGCCTTGCGAATTCAAGAATCAAGGCTGCCACCCCCGCAGCAATAGGGCATGCAAAAGACGAACCAGACCATGTCCTTTCGGTGTTAGGACTGGGAATTCCTAGACCCGGGGCGCTGAATCTAGATCCTCTGCTGTGTTGAGATGATGATGACGGAGCGTACCGCGCGTGCTCTCCATGTCCATCAGCCGCATCCACGCCTATCACGCTATCGGATCGTGCTGGGTATAGGATATCGTTTGGTGGGCCGAGAAGACCATCGTTGGAAGTCGAGGCAAACATGTGAACTCCATTTTGTCGTGCAAAATCGATGGCTTTGCGGACGCCGGCGTGGTTGTATGGCCAGCCAAAAGACATGTTGATGATATCAACTCCCCATCCGCCACCGTCAGGGCTGTCTTTGTCTGGTTTTGCAGCGGCCTTTTTAATAGCTCTTTCCACGGCTTTCTTATCTGGAAATAGGGCTTCGCCATCTGGACGTACCACTCGACAGATATATAATACTGCCGTGAGGCTAACCTTGAGTATCTGCACAGCCACTGCTGTTCCATGCCCAGATGGATCTGTCTTGGCTTCGGAGTCCGAACCGCCTTCAATGAAGTTGGCAAATTTCTTGACTCGTTGATAGTATGGTCTCAGAGACCTTTTGTCTTCGGCCGTTGTGTAAGCAAAGCCGGTGTCAAGAACGGCTATCTTGATTGGCGTCATGGAATCCGAGTTTGATCCATCTTGTATATACATGAACTCGTGTGTGGTGGCCTCTAAAATGTTGAACCATTGCTCTGTTGATCTGGCGCTATGATTTGTTAGACCAGAACCTCCAAAATTCTGCGAAGCTGATTACCCACCTCGAGTCAGTGGTAGAAGCCTGGAAAGCACCCAAGCTAATACTATCCGTGTCCTTGCCTTCAGCTTTTGTATCACTGTTGATTGTGGTGGTTGATTTACTGCCAGATTCTTCAGGACGGCCCGAACCAATACATTCATTGGGGGTTACAGTATAGATAGCCCGCTCAGAAGTCGAAGCAGAGGCGACTATGCTGTGGGTCGCAATCTCATTGGAAGCAGTGGCAGGTGAGCCAGCTATGCCTTCAAAAGGAGTCATAGGTCCGCCCAGGTAAACGGTTGAATGGGTCGCACGAGGTGGCAACCGGTTTGAACGACGGTCGACTGAGAATGTTTTAATAGCAGGATCAAGATCGAGAACAATCCTCCGCCCAAAAATCACCATGACTCTCAACTTGATCTTGCCCTTCAGCTGTCGAATAAGTTTCAGGAAAACATCAGGCAACAAATCTGCGTCGTGGAAGTTATTGCGTAGAACCCCGGTATCAACAATAATGATAAAGTCCCCTTTAACACAAGATTTGAGAGATAATATGCCAGCTAAAGCTTGAAACCAGTCGCCGGATGTAACAAGCTGCATCAATTTTATAAGCAGCCTCAAATTAATCAGTGTTGTCATGGGATGCGAGGTCTGCAAAGCTTGTATCGCTAGCTGACGAAGAATATCGTCCATCCGATTAGTTGTGAGGTCAGCTACCTCGTCTGGCAAAGGACTCAGAAGATAAAGAACCACGTCGGGAGATTTGACGTTGTCCACTACTTCGATTCCAAAAGTATCCAGGGTCTTTCGCTGCTGCGACGTACCCACAACGAGCAATACTGAAGGTTCTGCACCATGTGCCCAGTCTTGTACTTGCTCTATATCCCAAACATAAGACGTGATAGTCTTACTTTGATTTCCTCTTGTGCGAAGAAACAAGATACGGTCTTTGATAGCACTCTGGTTGATTGCGACGCCATTATTGTGGAATGTGGGAACCTGCCAGATTAAGTCGTCGTGGGGCAATTTCAATTTGGATTGCTTCCAATATTCTGGCTGGGAAGCAATGCAAACTTTGTGCTTGTCAGTCTCGGCAAAATACTGTTCGAAAAACTGGACACATACTATTGAGATGGTCGCGAAGAAGCTCAAGCTGATTGCTGTAGTCGTTATCCCTCATCTGTTGTTGTACACTGATTATAGCTGGGTGTTGCCGTCCAGCGTCTGA